TCTTATATACTCACGTGTCACAGCAGTGGTGTTTCTTCTGGGAGTCTGTCCGTTTATTGTCATATTTTGAAGGTTTTGCTTGAAATAGGGTTGAATATCGATGGAAAAAGGCAAAGAAAGAACCCAAATGAGATGTTTTAGGTAGGTTTACGGCTTTCTANTTATTATGATAATTATTGTTATTGACCTTTTTGTTTGGACTGTACAGTACCGTTGTTGAGAAATTAATACAGAGTCTTCTGAAAAGAGACACATTACAGTAGAAGACTCTGTATTAATTTCTCAACAACGGTACTGTACAGTCCAAACAAAAAGGTCAATAACAATAATTATCATAATAATTTAGAACAACAAGAGTCTGGATGGTAAAACAAAACGACGAAAACCTGGATGGACTCGGAGGAAAATATACAAAAACAAAGGAGAGGGGGGCATTTATAAATAATTTCGGGGCTTAAAGGCTACACGAGGAAAAACAACCAAACGCTGACCATACCGAGTTTATTGGTTTTGTAGTTTTGAAGTCTATGTACACGTGAGGTGGAGATATTAGCGTTGTCTGCAGGCAGCTAGCGAATAGCTCGTAACATCCATGCTAGTAAATATACCGCGAGAGTAGCTAACGGTTAGCTAGCTGCAACTGGAGCTTCACAGGATGTTTCGTTTCGTTTTGACGAGAAAAAGGCGCGTTAAAACAGGCAAGTAGTGTTAGCTTCACTATGCTAACATATATCGGAAGTTTGTACCGATGGCCCGAAACCACAATAGTCCAATTTGACCGATAGTTTGTTTGTGTGCGCTAGCCCGTTAGCTTGAACATAAATGGCCATCTTTACGATGATTTACGCTCTATGGGTCAGCGGACAAATGGGCCATATTTGGGGCTTTTTTTTAATAATGTGCCATCGGGGCAATCGTACGTAGCAGTTAGCTTCAGCAACAGATGACTCTGTGCTACGATGACAATATATAGGCAGATTGCTAAGCTAGTTTGTTCATGACTCAGCAGTTTCTGTGATTACTAGCAGTTTAAAGCAGATATAATACATTTCTCTCCGTTAGCTAGCTGCTTCCTAGCTTTAGCGTCAGTTTTGATATTCTGGTCGAGAGCTTAGAGAAAAATTCAAGACGATACAAGAAAGAGAAAGCTGTAGTGGAAAAACGGACTGAATCAGATTTAGTGCATTTCTGTCATAAATAAAAGGATGTCTTTTTCCTGTCGCCGGACGAGTCGGATATAAAAACATTAAATAAAATCACGATTTACGGGAAGTTAAACGCCATCTTTGCGATGAATGGCACGAACAAACGGACGAAGTTAGGAACGTAAAGGCAGGTGTAGAAATTCATGTTTTAGCGTTTTCATTTATACAGAGTGTTTGTGGTTTAATGGCGATATTGCAGCGATGTCGGCGTACGAAGTAACGGTGATTCACGTGAAAATGGATATTGCTTGTATACACAGTCGGGTTGAGAGCCGCTCCTCAACCTTTACGCTAACATTTGAGGACCAAACGGTAAAATAGAGCGAAGAGTCAAGGGATAAAAATCATCATCACAAAAACATCGAGGACTCTTCATCCCGACAATCCTGATCGGTTAGCGTTCAGTCGACTGTTCTGCGTCCAGCGACCAAAAGAAGTCAACGCTCAGTCAGATATACAAAACCAGGTGTGTCTTTACAACTCTGTCAACACGGGACAACACCTGAACTTAACCTGCAACCATTCATTGCAATTGGATCTTTAAACCAGTGGTTCCCAATCTAACGGTTGTTTGGGTTTCATTGGTCCAGACTCAGTCTTGACTCCAGATGTGACCAAGTTCAGACTCTGTCTTCTCCCACAGGGTAACCAAATACAAACTTGGTTTTAAGTCAAACTTGACTGCGTTCGGACTTGGTTTTCTCCCAAAAGTTTGACCAACTTTAAGACTTGGTTTTGACCCAAATCTGTACTCATTCTTTCCTCGAAATTTGGCCGAATTGGGATTCACTCTAGACTCAAAATGTGTCCACGTTCTGACTTGGTTACGACTCAAAACTTGACCACATCAGGACTTGTTCTTCTCCCAAAAAAGTGGACTCTTTCCAAAACAAATGACCAAAATGTAGGCTTGGTTTTTTACCCTTTTTCTCTATTCAAGATGTGACCAAATACCAACTTGGTTTTAAGTCAAACTTGACTGCGTTCGGACTTGGTTTTCTCCCAAAAGTTTGACCAAATTTAGACTTGGTTTTGAGTCACAAATTGACCACATTTGGACTCTGTCTTCTCCCAAAATGTGACCTGATTCAGACTTGGTTTTGACCCAAAGATCAACCTCAAACTTGTCTTAATTCTGATTGGTTGCTGACTCAGACTGGGAGCCACTGGTTTTTGTTTACCTGCTTAGTTTAACTTCCTGTCCTGGAGGAGTTTCACACATTCAGTCCATGCTGGTGTTCTCAAACACTTCAGAGTAAATCACTGCGTTCAGGCGACAGTAAGTACTTCCTGTCGTCTCTAATGGACAGGAAGTGACGGAGGAAGACTATTTACAACAAGGTTTCCACACCAGAGAAGAAGAAGCCCTTCTTTGTGATTCGCTGAGCAGAGCAGGGAGCCTGCTGATTGGACGGGAAACATTCACATAACTTTATAGACAGATTTGTACAGATGTTACTTATATCACCTAAGTCACTATTTCCTCTCTAAAAATGTGAATTACGTGTTTAAATGAAACCGAAGGATGAAACCAAACCTCCCGTCATTGTGATTTGTCTGAGATTACAGCAGATTATATAAAAACACCTGAAGAAGAAGCAGATTAAAGTTCCCTTATCGCCCCGTGCAGCCGCTTCCTTTTCTTTTCCCACTGTCTACACGTTAAAACACAAATAAAATCACTTCAGGGATGGTTTGAGATAAATATTCAACCAGGATGTGAACCAAAGCCAGGTTTAAGACGCTCACAGCTCAGAAAATGCAGATAAATCCAACAAATACAGAGAAAAGCCCCACCCTGAACGATAAAACACATTCCTCCACGTCATGAGCCTCACACCCCTAGATGCACTGTCTTTACACCTCACAGCAATAAGAGGTGATTGTGGGGCCATGGTTGATGTTTCTGTCATCGGCCAAATAATCCAATGAAATGCTAAATTATAGCCCAAAAAACCTGCATCGTTGTAGATTAAATGAAAGATATATCGTCCAGCCCTAGAAAAGGCGTTTCATTACCGAGAAAGACTTGTACGTTTGTTGGACTGAAATGTGTGAAAACGAGGTAAACCTGGCGTTAGGGTGCTGGGGAAACGACAGGAGTGGAAGATCTCCGGTCCCTGAGCCATAGCTTTGTGAAACAGAACCCCCTCCCCACGTTGACGTCTGAACGATCGGTCCAGAACATCGAGATATACAATATACACAATCCAGGGGGGCGGGGCTTAAATTAAACGAGGAGGAGAGAGTGTAGCACATGCGATCTATCACTTCTTCTTCTTCTGATATTTTATTTTAAACATTGAGATATCTTCACACAACATAAAAAGGCTTCACAGAACTCGTGGAATAAAACCGTTGAAGGCGTCTTTTCCTTCTCCTTCGCTTCGATATGTCGTCCTTAAATTAACGATGAGGTATGATGAGGGTCACGTGATTATATTTATATCTCCCAGTTTGTTCTCAGTGGTCATATGAGCGCGGTGGTGTTGTTGTTGCGGTTGTTGTTTCTTCGCGGCAGGTTGGGCGTGGCCATCAGAGGGTAGCGCTCGTCAGGACATCCGTACTGGAGGAGCACGTCCACGCACTCCTGGCTGCTCGCCTGCCGTGCGTACGCCATCGCTGAGTTACCGTGAGCGTCCCTCGCATTCAGGTCCACGCCGTACTGAGGAGGAGGAGGAGGAGGAGGAAGAGGAGGAGGAGGAAGAGGAGAGGTTAGAAGTGGATTATGTTTCCCTACTCGCTCCGTGCAGCTGCTTCCTGTTCATGTTTAAACACTGAAAACGAGACTTTAGTGACAGTTCAAATGAAACAATACGCACCCAGGACGTACATGAAAGACACTTTGAGATAAATCCCAGATGTACAGATGAAATATGAAGGAGTGAAGGACAGAGCTCTAAACACTGGCTCTGATATTGAAGGTTAGATGACTAATGGTGCGTTTGTTTTACGTCTGCTCAAATCTATTTGAATCAGCTTTAGGAGCTTCTCCTCCTCGTACCCAGAGCAGCAGCTGCGTGATGACCACGTTCCCCTTCCTGGACGCCAGGTGCAGCGCGTTGCGTCCGTCTCCGTCTCCGCACGTCTCGTTGACCTGCGATCGGGACCCGTGAGCGAGCAGCAGCACGACGGAGGGCAGGTCCTCCTCTGCAGCCGCTCTGAGCAGCTGCTGACCCAGAGTCAGATCTGAGACGCAGGGCAGCGCCGCCACGAACACCCGCTGCTCGTACTTGGCTCGGATCCACCGCTCACGCTCCTCCCTGGGGGGAAAGAGGGGGGGTGTCAGTGATACTGTGGTACGATGACATAAAGGAGAAGACAGCAGCTTTCAGAGGCTCAACATTTAGAGACCCGATTCATGACTGACGCTTCACTAGAGGGTTGGTGTATACTGAGGCGTGGCAGAAGCACTGGGTTCTGTGAGAGTTTAAAGTTCACACTGCATTTTATAATGGCAACGTTTTCCATTCTCAACCATACTCACACTTTTAAGACCTCAAGTATTAGTTTACCTTTTTTTATAACATCGTTTTTATAGGAAAATATAAGTGGCAAAGTGGGAAAAGAGGATACGTAGACGTAGCTCGCAAAGGCAGGTAGAACGTAACATTAAGATGAGAGGAAAGAGGAGGGACTGTTGGTGTTACTGGGGGCGGTGTTTGATGGAAGGGAGAGAACAGAACCCTGAAGGAGACTTTTCCACCTTACTCATGAGTTTTGGAATTCAATGTCAGAGAATAGAAACCTGTTTTCTTTAGGACCAACAAGTCATAACATCTGCCATGATTTTGGGATGTTTTAGTATTATTTTACCTTTTCTTTAAAAAAAAAGTATAGCAAAATAGAAGTGGCAAAGGCAGATAAAAACAATCAGAGCTTTGCAGATTCCAAAAGTTAAACATGTTTGAATATTCCCCCTTTTTTAACTTTAAATGTATGCCTTTAATAATCAGGGAAAAAAACGTCAGATTTTTTCTTGTTTATTTACCACTTAAACCTGGAAGAATATAACGCC